CCTGCACCTAGTTTTCCCACTCACTGCAAGAACCATTAAAGGATCTTAAGTAAAGGAATACTTTGATTAATTTGCATTTTATAAAACTCTTACTGGTGGTGGTAGGGCAGGTAAATGGGAAGAGACAGTGGGGTTGATAGGAAGCTATGGCCCTAATTCATATCATGAATGATCGGGAAGATCTGCAGTAGAGGGTTAAGTTGCGATAGATTTGATGGAGATTTCGAAAGTATGGAGCAACACACTTGGACTTGTTGTGGAAATGGAGAAGTACAAGTCTAAGGTTTTCAGCATGAGCAATGAAAGGGTGTGCTACTGAGTGAAACAGAGAATACAGGAAGAAAGATAATGGAGGGGGTAGGATAATGGGGTTGGGATGTGGAGACAGAAAGTATGTGATGTCATACTTTACATAAAGTGGATATGAGTGATATTTTGGAAATGAGGAGTACAAGTTACCCATGAAACCATGCAGAAATATCCAAGCAGAGATATCCCCTTAGGCAGTTAGATTTATGTAATTGGAGTTCAGGGTAAAGGCCAGAGCTAAACACATAAATTTGGGGCCCACCAGCATAGAGGTCATTGTTAAAACTATGGATAAGTTTACCCGAGAGTAAGAAAAAAATAAGGTCAGAGAGTGCAGTTTTGATAGCTCTAGTATTCATGATGTAAACAGAGAAGGGCTGAAAAGAAATGATCAAAGAGCTAGGAGAACTAGAAGGGTGTGCTACTACTTTCTCAATACCATCCACCCCGTCAGTCAGCAGAAACTCATTATTAAGAATTTATGATATGGGCCTCCCTGGTGGTGCAACGGTTGAGTGCTGGGCTTGCTAAGCTGCCCGCAGCCTCTGCAGCACCAGTTCAATCCCCGGCTGCTGGCAAGGGTCCCACATGGCGTGCAGACTTCTCTTGCCGCACCCGCTGCTCCCTCAGCAGTGTACTTCATCAGTCTACCTATTCTGCTCCCTGCTTTGGCTGTGGTGAATTCTCTTACCCTCCCGCGCTTCTGACTGTACCCAGTCCTTGTATAAATAAATAAATAAATCTTTAAAAAAAATTTATGATATTCCAGGCATAGGAAGCATAATAGGTACCTCAGAAAGCACAAAGATGGAAAAACTGTGATTTTTACTATGCTTCAGTATGAAGCAAGATGGGGGGAGTGAGGATGTTCATCAAGTTAATTTAAAAAAACAAAAGAAGAAAAAGAAGTTGAGGGAAATAGGAGGACCAGTGTGGTTTGACTTAACTCATCTCAACTCTCACCCTTATTGCAGTACTCCCACGTATATCCAGCAGGATTTGATATTTACATCATCATTTGAGAGACGCCTCCTTCAAAAATTGTTTTTCACATGAAAAGCCAAGAAATTTTAGGTGATATGAAAATAATGATGTTGAGCCATTTTTTATGTCATTACAAAAAAGTCATAGTAGTGATCATTGTCTGCAATTTTAATGGAAAATGGATAAAAATGATATATTTTAATTATTTTAGGTGAAATTTTTACTTGAGTCAATTTAATTGGACTTTACAACCATCTTGGGACACTTTTAGGGTTGACATTTTTAGTGTTTAAAGAGCTCAGTTATGCATTTCAGAAATATACTTAGCCATCAACTGGAAAGTCACTCTAAAAATGGAGTGTTACGTTAAGAAATTATTCATAGAACTTCTTTCAAAGCTCTTCCATATATGCCCTGTAATGGGGTTAGTCTTCCTTGAAGGATCTCAGACTTCAAACCAGAACTCCTGCTATGAAATCAGCTTCCATAGACAGATAAAGCCTCATAAAAATCACTGAAATAGTGTAGACATTTCCAAAACCAGCACAGATTTAAAGTTTCAGGAGAGTGTTTTAAAGGCACAGATGTAAATGCCTGTACCTACAGAAATAGTGCTTTAGAAAGAAAAAGGCACTTTGAGAAGATCATGACCCCACATATCCTATTCCCTCTGTGCCATGTGGTAGCTAACCAGTTCATTATCTATTTGGTTCTTAAACATTTCCAATAAGATTATTCTGAAGTTTGCCATGGTGATGTCTAGTGATGTTGAGTTGTGAGATGCAGTGGAGAGTGGGTGGCTATGGGGCTTTTTCCTGAAATTCTTGGCCTACAGCTTTTCAACTTGACATCCTCTTTGCTTCCTGTTTTATATAATTTAACAATAACCTTTCTTCACACTGAGCCAAGTTATCACATTCACTTTGTGACGAAATGGAAGAAAATAAGATATGCTGTGTGATAATAATGAATGCATTAAATCATCTTTCCCCAATTTTCAATTCTGTAATAATATGCTACAGTTTCCTGTTTATTAGGGCTGCATAACAGGAAGAGTTAGGGATTGTAAAGTATCATAAAAACATATTGGTATTATCATAGAAATAGTTAAGTATGTAGAAATACGTTGCTTCCCCAAATTAATCTAGAAAGCTTTGTCTTGACAATGTAATTTAGCTATTTTTTGAAATATTACTGACTTACTTTGCATTACATGCGGTTTCACCTTGTGCTAAACATTTCTTAAATAATGAGGTAATGTGTACCCTTCTTTTATAATATTTGCTTAAACATCAGCCTATGAATTCCATTTTGCTTTTTTAAAGAGGAATTATTTTCTCAGTGAAAATACTTGGGAAAAAAGTTCCGTGACTTTTGCTAATGGAGCTGTTAAGAGAATCTAAAAAAATGAAAGGGAATTATTTAAAAATTGGGGCTCTAGCTCTGTTTTCCATGTAATAATTAATATTGTTGAACAGAAATAAAACTGTACAATATATCCAGGGATGATAACCAATAATAGCCACCAGTATAGCAAGGCACCACCCTGTCAGATGAATTCTGTTCTTAGGTCTTAAAGACCTCCTGTTACAGTTGTTAAAACTTCAGGCACTGGATTATAGATGAAGCAAGGGACTAGGGTGGGGCCAAGGCTGCAAAGGAGCCTAGAAGACCTAGGACAGCAGCCACATTCTAATAGTTTACTTTAACAACCAGGACTTCTGGACCAGGACATCCACTTATATCAGCCCCATGTATATCAAAAATTGTATGCTGCATTTTAATTGGGAATTGCAGAAATGGAGACTTCAGTGGTATAAAGTCAGATCTTGTTCTTCTAATTTGCTGGTCTCTAAACCTTCTGGGTGTTCAGTAGAAGGACAGAGAAGGCAAAGAGGAAACTCAAAGTAGTGTACCTGAAGTGGGTGGGTTTTTTTCACTGTACAGGTATTTGAAATGCATCGGATCATCTGTACAGGTAAGAGCCAGCTTGTTGTCTTACTCATGGTGTATCCGTAGTACTTTAACCTACTTGCGGTTTAATAATCTGTGAATGAATGAATGAATGAATGTGAATGGCTGCTGTATCAAAATGTAAGTTTTATTATGCAGGAATAGGAAGTGGGCACCTCTCTTGTGGCGCAGGGGTTAAAGTCTCAGCGCTATCAAGCTATCAGCAGCCACTGTGGCATAAGTTCAATCCTGGCCAGGGAGCTAATCCACATGGCCCAGCAGACTTCTCCTGTCTCTTCCACTGCTCCCTCAGCAGTGTATTTCAGTGAATCTGCCTGTTCTCCCCCATTGTCTCTGGTGAATCCTCCACCCCTCGCACCTCTAGCCTGCACCCCAGTTCTTATATGCATAAATAAAAATAAATTTTTTTAAAAAAAAGGAATAGGAAGGTCAACAGATCAGGAGAGGTTTGTTATTGAAAAGATATTTGTTAGTCACAGTTCCCAAAAGGAAGAAACACTTGACATGATGCACGGGGCCACAAGGAGAAGAAGCAAGGTGTGTTAGGAGGCCGAAGGAACAAAGGGAAAAATATGGGCAAGAACTTTTAATGTTGTTTCTGTTGGAAAGCATACAAGGTAAGCAGACCTAGGAGGGCTAGTTTGAATGATTTCAGTGGAGTTAGGGGTGTGGGGTCTCCAGGTGTTTGGTATCTGGCTCTGGGTGGGTAGGGCAGGGATAGTGGTCCTGAGTGAGCATAAGAGCTCAGTAGAGGAGGAGATGGGTGCATGGATTCTGGATTAGTTAATTCATATGTGAAAGATGCCTTCACAGGCTAGTAATTTACTATTTCTAGCAACTGGCTAGTTCTGGGAGGGCTAATCTCACTAAGACTAGACACTGATCATGCCGAAGCATCAGAAACATGGAAAATAGAATGTGTGATTAATCCATTGGCCATGGGAAATGACGCTATATCCTTTTATATTCAAAGGTCTGATGGAGGCAAGTAGAGATATTCTCTTTCTTTTTCCTTCTACCATTCTTTTTAGATATGTGAGTAATTTAACATAGCACTTAATGGTATTAATTACAGCTAAGATCTATTGAGCCCTTATGATGTGTTCAGCACTATGTAAGAACTCTACATGCATCAACACAATTAGTGTCCCCAACACCCCATGTGGTGTGGATAGTTTATATTCTCATACATAAGCAAGTAGGAGCCTTCAGAAATTACAGAACTCAGTCAAAGTCACTTAAGAGTTGTGTGTCTAAATGTTGGGCAGTTCCTCTCACTGGTCTATGCCCAGTTGCCATGAGAGAGTAAGAACCATATAAACCAGGCGGAATCAATAAATAAGCTCCCATCACACATCTTTTTAATTGGAGCAGTCCGCTAAAAACAGTTCATTGTTTGATGGAGCAACTGTCCAGAGGAAAGGAGACCTGTTTTGTGGTTTCTGTTCTTGATTTGACATTTACTAAGAATGGGGATGTTGGAAGGATGAAATGTGTGACTCTGCAAATGGTTATTTCTCTTTGTGGCATTTGTGCCTTACTTCATCTGGGTTCCACGAAAGCTTGCTTTGTAGAATAGGACTTCGAGTATGTGAGATGTGTGCCCGACCTTGGGAAAGCTCAGTGCGTGTGCAGAACGTGTGCCAACCCAGGAATGTCTACAGGACTGACGGAGTGCCCCGCATGTCATCCTCGGTTTTCCTGATTTCTCTTCTTCTTTCTCTTTCTCCCAGCTTGCCATCAGTCCTGTCTCGGGTGTGTCGGGAAGAGTGCATACAACTGCACAGCCTGCTGGCCAGCCCACGCGCTCCTGGATGGGGAGTGCTTCTCCCATTGCCCAGATGGATACTTTGACCAGGCAGGCAAGTGTACTGGTGAGTATGTAACATGCCAGGGCATAGTTCCTAGGCCCATGTTCTTTTTCATAATGCAGTCAGACACTATAATTAGAAATTTGTCATACCAAAGGGTGAGGACTGGGCTATAAATCCTTGTCTTGAACTTGGAGTAAAGGCACAGTGTAAGCAGAACAAGTGAAATCTTGTTCTTCCAATAGGAAAATATCTGTGAAATGAAAACTTGAAAACAGTTTAAACCCTGCACATTCAGCAAGGAATGGGTTCTGTGGTGGTCATCACGGACACAAGCTCCCAGAGACCCTAGCATTTGTACAGGATCAGGCCTTTGGCATTAATGCTGTACTTTTCAGCCCACTTCCCCGGGCTACAGCCTAATAGAACAAAAGGAGAAAGAGGTGTTTATTTTCTTCTTTGACATGTCAATCCAATACGTTTTTTTTAAGAGAGCCTTTATATTTCAGTACGGGAGATTCTAGAAATTACTAGTTAAGATTAGTTCAGTGTTTTATTGGCATTGACAAAATACTAAAGTTTAAGCACCTTACTTTAGCACTGTTTTCTTGTATCTATTAAAAGACAGAACACATTCTATCGTGATCACTATTTTATTTTAAAAATAGACTGTTGTGGCCAGCTTATAGGAAAAAGCCCATGGTTATGACAGTTTATTACATGTATTTATGGAGCTGGAAAACAGGTAGTATACATTTATAAAATATTTAAAAATAAGTTAATACTTGTTAGATTCCTTTGGTCTCAAACTCCAAAAAGGAAATTTAATGTGAGCACAAATCTAGACGATTGAAGATCAATATTATAGTTCCTTTGGAATCTTCTTTACCCAAGTACCTTTTTAATCTCTCTAGGCCCCCGATGGGCTCCTTGCTTTAAACACCTTATCAAGCACAAGTGGAGAGTGATCCTGGTTTCTTTGTCATTGAGGTTGTCCTTGAAAATTGTCTGTCCTTATGTGTGTTCCTCCTTGTCCATCCAGCTGTTTTTGTGTGTGTGTGTTTTTGTTTCAGAGGGTAAGTTTTAAGTAGCTCTAACTCTGCTTTGCCTATGCCTCTGTCTGCTGGAAGCCAGCAGATGGATGGGACCATGAGCAGCAGGGCGCCCAGGTCACTGAAAATCTACTAGCAGGGAAGAGGAACTGGGTGGTAGAAATCATCCTCAGACCACTAATATCTTTTCGGCTGGAGGATTCAAAGTTGAGAGCTTTAGGAATGCAGGGGTGAGAGCTAATGCCTGCCTTCTAATCAGCAGTTCATTTTCTTGCTTTTTTTAAAAACTCTTTATCTTCTCCTGGCTTCTCACCAGAAGTGAGAGGCGGCTGATTTTACTCAAAATCTATGCCTTTGCTTTCCACCAAGTCTGAGCCAGAAGGGAATTTTTTTGTTGACAGTTCTAGCAAGCTGTACCCAGCTCTGGTCCCTCACCTCCCCTCCTCTTGGAATGAGACAGGCTTAGACCTCCTCGTCCTTGGCAGAAAAATCCTTCAATCTCCTTCCATGTGCTCACTCCTGCTGCCTGCCTTGGCAGCACGAATGCATCTGCAGCTGCAACTTCTTTTATTTCTTGCCATCCTTCTCTTTATTGCCTACACCTACTGTGACTCACTTGTTTTTTATTTAGTATAGTACCTCTGATTAACTTGGTGGTTTTTCTGGGGGAAATACAGGTCTAAGGAGTAGAACTTCAAATACAGTTCATGATAACTACCTGAAATCATCTCTTTCTTGTTCTTTGTATTGTAAGAAAGTATTGCTGCTGAAACAGACATCCACGTTGTGACCTGAGGGAGAGGAGGCTGGCAACTGAGTCTAGTGAGAGGTTTGGTTCCCCTTGCTGTGTATGGTTTCCTGTCTATCTGCCAGGAATTTCTGAGAAGTGAAATGGCTCCCCTCTTCTCCCAGTCTTGCTCTATTTGAATCATGGTATTTCAGGGAGGGTGTATCTTATCACTTACTCTTCTGCTCAGTGTCTGTGATCTGAACCAATTCATTTGCATAGATGGAGGATCATGTTGACTTCTCTGGAAAGTGCAGCCAGTTACTCTGATATTTATTTATTTGCTTATTTATTTTTTTAGTATAATCTAGCTAAGTAATATTAACTTTAAAAAATATTTTTTTATTTTCTTACATCGTCGTTCATTTTTGTACAATATTTGATTTCTCCCCTCAGCTGTAATTCCCATAATTCTCCCACCTCCATATCTTCCATAAACCATCACCATAATCCTTTATGCTCTTCTCTCCCCTAGTTTGTTTACTCTCCTTCCTGCAAGTTTTGCCTTTTTCTTGACCCTTTGTGCAGTTTCCCTATATCCCCCCATAAATGAGACCATATGCTATTTTTGTTTTTCCTTCTGACTTATTTCTCTGAACATAATCCCTTCTAGCTCCATCCATGTTGCTACAAGTGGCATGAGTTTGTCTTATTTGATTGCTGAGTAGCATTTCATCGTGTATATATACCACATCTTTTTTTTGTTTTTTTAAATTTTTAAAAAATTTTTTACATCATTGTTCATTTTTAAAAATGTTTGCTTCCCCCACCCCCTCAGGTGTAGTCCCCATAGAATTTCCTTCACCCATGCACCATCACCTCAGTCACCTGTGCTCCTCCTTCCTTCCCTCTGATCCCTCTCCCTCCTCCTCCCCTGCAGTATATATTGCAGTATATGATTTATAATTGTCTGTTTTTGCTTTGTTATATTTTGTACTGTTTTTATTTATTTACACTCCTGGCTTATTTCACTGAGCATAATTCCTTCTAGCTCCATCCACATTGCTGTGAATGGCATGAGTTTATCTTTTGGTGGCTGAATAATATTCCATTGTGTATATATACTACATCTTCTTGATCCAGTCATCTCTTTTGGGGCATTTGGGTTGTTTCCAGGTTTTACCTATTGTAAATAGCACTGCAATAAACATAGGGGTACAGGTGGTCTTTGGAATCAATGTTTTTGTGTCCTTTGGGTAGATCCTGGTGGTGGAATTGCCGAGTCATATGGTAGCTCCATTTTTAGTAGACTGAGGAAACTCCAGACAGCTCTCCATAGTGGTTGGACCAGTTTGCACATCTTGGCCCATTCATCTGTTTTGGAGCATTTAAGTTTTTTCCATATCCTAGCTATTGTAAACAGTGCTGCAATAAACATAGAGGTGCAGGTTTTCTTTCAAATTAATGTTTTTGTGTCCTTCGGGTAGATTCCTTGGAGTGGAATTCCTGAGTATATGGCAGATACATTTTAAGTAATCTGAGGAGCTTCCACACAGCTTTCCATAGTGGTTGGATCAGTTTGCATTCCCTCCAGCAATGTAAGAGGTTACCTTTGCTGCACACCCTCGGTAGCATTTGTCATTGACAGATATGGACCATTCTTACTGGCGTGAGGTGGTACCTCATTGTAGTTTTGACATGCATTTCCCTGATTATAGGTAACATTGAACATTTTCATATTCCTGTTGTTCACTTGCATTTCTTCTTTGGAGAAGTGTCTTTTGTAGCTCTTCTGCTATTTTTTATTTCATATATGTATATTTATAGATTTATTTATTTATTTATACAAGCACTGGGTACAGTCAGAAGCGAGGGAGGGTGAGAGGATTCACCAGAGCCAGAGCGGGGAGCAGAACAGGCAGAAGGACCAAAGTACACTGCTGAGGGGAGCAGCGGGAGTGGCAGGAGAGGTCTGTTGCGCCATGTGGGACCCTCACCTGGCAGCCGGGGATTGAACCAATGCTGCAGAGGCTGTGGGCAGCTTCACAGACCAGTGCTGAATTGCTGCGCCACCAGGGGAGGCCCTATTTTATATATTTTTACATCATTTTTCATTTTTGCACATTGTATGCTTTTTCATCTTGGTTATAGTCCCCATACAATTCCCAGCCCCTCTTCTGCCAATCTTTTGATTGGATTGTTTGCTTTGTTTTTGTTGAGTTGTATAAGCTATTTGTAGATCTTTGATATCAGTCACTTATCAGTCGTAGCTCCTACTCAGTAGGGTGTCTCTTCACTTTTGGTTACTGTGTCTTGCTGTACAGAAGCTTTTTTACTCAGATTTTTGTGGTTCAGGATTCTATATTCTATTCAGGGAGCATATTTTCACTGATAACATGTGTGTATTGGTCAGACGTGTGTGTCAGACTTATTCAGGGAACTTCAAAAGATAGTTTATGTTTAAGGTTGGCTCTTAATGTAATTTGTAGCATGTGTTAAATGCTTCCTGGACTGACATGCTGAGGTCATAATTCCAATTCTGGTGCTTGTTTCCCTAGAATGCCATCCCATCTGCAGGCAGTGTCATGGCCCTTTGGAATCTGACTGCATCTCCTGTCACCCTCATGTCACCCTTAATGGTGGGAGCTGCAAGACCAGATGTAAGGAAGGGCAGTTCCTCAACCTCATGGGGTACTGTGCAGGTGAGTGAGACCTTCTTAGCCTCAGAAATCAGGGCTGAAGGCTGGGGTTACTTGTCATCTGATTAATGCTCTTTTTCTCATTTGTCTCCTCTCTGGGAACTCACTTCACTGGTTCCTCTCAGACACTTAGTAAATATTATGTGGATTCAAATGGAACATTAGAGTAGCACTCTTGTAGTTTTCCTGAAAAAAATGTTAACTACTCATGTTAATGAAGAATGAAATTATAATACATACATGTGATACACTTTTAAGATAGTAAAATGTATTTTCAAAATAGTCACTCTGAAGACTGCCTGCCTTTTGTCTACATTTTCTTCTTCAACTTTTTGTGGAAAATCTTTGCCATCAGCCCTAGCAACAAAAATTTAGGGAGAATAACCTAAAGGTAAGTCAGTGAAACTGAGATTTTTCCTCCTCATTTTAATACTTTGATATCAAAAAAGAAATGCATTAGGAAAGCAGCCTAGAATTTGGATAATGATAAAGAAGTCATACAGTGTTTGTGTTCATCCGTCCCTCATACAGCAAATATCCTTGAGTGTCAACTAAAGGCCAGATGCTCAGAATACAAAAATGTTAAGTAAGATGGCCCTGCCCTCAAAGAGCCTACCATCTAGAAAAAGGAGTCTATAGGCTAGTAGGATATTGTATGTTTCTTGACCACTTCTCCAAATTGTAGAAGAAACTTGAAGAGTTTTGCTTTTATCAGCTCTGTTGTCACAGCCTGAAGGGCTTAACTGGAGGCCATCCTGGGAAATGTGAGGAAGGGCATGGTGGAATGTACACTGGAACTGACCTTCCTGGAGGGCTTTCCCCTGGGTAGGAAGGAGGTGTGCCCTGTTTTCTATATCATAGTACTGAGCACTACATTTGGTCTGGGGCAGCATTGGTTCCAGAGTAGTGCAGCTGGTAGGTGGGGGCACAACAAGTCAATGGCAGTGCTCCAAGTAGTGCCACCAACCTGAGTGATGCATTCCTTTTTACACGTGACTTTGGCTAAAGACTAGATGTTGGATTAGGATCTGTCTTCTAGGAAGACTAAGCTGTCAAGAACAGGGCTGCAGCTAAACAATGTTGTGTTTCAGGTCAATTATAAAGCCTGCAAACATCTTAGTGACAATGAAAATTAGAAGCTCTGAGAGTGCAGGTTTATGATCAATGAATATCCCATGACCTAGAGCATGTGAGCCTGTTGCTGGTACTTCCAGTTGTAGTCAGAGCTGACTTAGGAAGTGGACAGATGGGAAACATCCATGGCTGCCCTTGTAGCGGACTCTAGGGGTGACGTGGTTGTCTGGTATTGTAATTTGTAAGCCTGAGTTCAGCTACTGATTCTTTTTATATGATATGATGGAATATAGCTATTATAAGAACTAAATTTCCTAACATGGTTATAGAATATTGGTCGATATTTACTGAGAATCCACTGAGCATTTGTTGCTATGTTTCTGTTTGAGGGGAGCAGAGATCTTCCAGGATATTTAAGTTGATGGAAAAATGACATAAGGGCAATTAACAAATAGTACAAAGTGTGTTGTGAATGATAACACCAATGGACAGTAAATTGCCACTCAGAGGAGGAAGAAGTATAAGCTATAGAATGCATTGTAGAGGAGATAGAACCCAAATTTCTTCTTATGGAATTGCTTGGATTCAATTAGACAAAGGTAGATCAGGCAGGCTTTCCCAACGTGGTTCTATCAGGAGACAGACCCAGAGGGGGAACACATGGGCTATTCATAGTCAGTGTGTGGTCTGACCTGGGTGAAGAACATGGTTCGTATTGAGGCATATTTCATTTAATATGAAACTAGAACCAGGATATAGAAAGCCAAAGTTCCAGGCCAAAAATATTGGACTGAGTCTTGTGGTCAATAAATCATGAGAGTTTGGGAGAGGACTGTGATTTGACTAAGGATGTGGGTTATATGCAGGGAATCTGAAAACTATGGAAGATGGACTGGAGCAAAGGCATATTATAGCCAGAGAGAGGAGGTAAGAGGTAGGACCTTAATGGTGCTTTTCTATTTCCAACTTTTCTACATGTGGGTCCTAAAATTTTTATGCTGGGGCATATTTTATAAATAAATGTTTATATAAGGAGATTGGAAAAGTTTAATTTTTAATGAGCTCTGTTCTCTCTAATGTCCAGAGCCCTTTTTGATAGTAAATTGGGTGATTAGGAGAGACATTAATTTTTTAAGCCTAATAGAAGGCCATTAGAATAAATAATCATGGGACAAGGTTAAATGACACTGGAAGTCACCAGCTTTGGAAGAGCAGGTGCCACTACAGAAGCTGGGTGGGGCAAACCCTGGCTGTCCTGATAAGTGAGTATATTAAGTAAAGGTTTCAAATAAGGTAACCATTTTCTGGTGCTTGGAAATCCTTTGTTGATTAGAGACTGATATATCAGTATTTGTTACAGAAAAATTTGACCACTAATTTTAATTGTTCATCTTTCAGAGAACTGCATTGACCCCAAAGTTTAATATATGTATACATATTATATGTATACTATATACACACACATATATACATGTATATATGTATGTAGGAGGTATATATAGCATTGTAATGCATACCTTCATTTACTGTTCCATTACACATTTATTAAGCACATGCTCCATTGCCAAGTACTGCCCTGGACTCTGGGGATACACAAATAACATAGCATGGTGTTGAATTTAAGGATGCATAGCATGCGGAAGGAAGCTGTATGTATTGTATATGGTATTGCTGAGAATATGAATGAATGAACCTGTGGGGTAGGACCCTAACCCAGATAGGGTCTCTGTATGTGTATTTATGGAGTGGGTAATGAAGGTTTTCTGGAACATGCAGTAATTGAGATGATTCTGAAAGATGAATCAGAATTAGAAAGGTTCCATGTTTTGGAAGTAGATCATTCCAGAATTGGGGAGGTCAAGGAATGTTATCTGTTTAAGCACCAAAAAGAGTTAAGTAGAATTTCAGCCCTGAGTATGGGCATGGTGGGACCTAAAGCAGAAGGAGGCAGGGTCAGTTCATGAAGGCCTCTGTGTGCTCTGTTGAGGGGTAACATGCTTTGTCATCTATGCTGAGGGTGTTGTTGAAAGTTTTTAAGCAGGAAAATACCATCGTCATAAGTCTGGAAAGAGCAAGATCTGTGTAAGATTGCTTGCAAGAAGATAAAACAGGGTCAAAAAGACATTTTAAAAGAAGTTGCAGAAATCCAGACAGGAGGTGAAGACTCTGATGAGGCACTGCTGAGGGGACTAAAAGAAGGGGCTGTGACTTCACTCCATATCAATGACCTATTAGGTTGATCCAAGTAAGGTTACTGTTTTGTGGGCACAAATGGTCTAAGTATGCAAATTCCTTGCAGTTTAATGTAATAGAAGAAACAGCCGTTGGCCATCTCTTTGTTCTGAGGCTAAGGGAAAGGAAATTTCTGCTATGATGTCCAGATTTTTGATCATATATTCAAGGAATAGGAATACCATTTACCAAGTGTGGAATGTGTTTGGGAAGCAGTGAGAAAGATGATTGTTTGAAATTGGACAAGTAGGGGGTAACTGTTAGACATACAAGGGTAGTTCCAGGAGGAGGTTAAAGGTCTGAGTGAACCTGGGTTTCTTACTGTAGCCACTAGGAATTCATCTCCTATCTTCATTTTACCCTAATCCAAAGTCCTAGATTTTTTTAAAAAATTGTTTATAGTAGTGGAAATTTATTTTTAACCTAGTGTTGCTTCAGCCAGGTTGTCGTTAACTTCCTGGGACTTTTCAGTGATGTCTATCTAAGCTCCAGAAGGTGTTAGGAGGAGCCCAGTGAGGAGATAGCAGAAGGTAATCCACCTCACGCAGTGCCTTCAGTGGAGTATATTTTCACTGTCTTTCGGAAGTCCTGGCACAGTGGAAGCCCTGGAGACGCACCCTTTCTGCTCCCTCCATGATGTGTAAGATTTGCAGCGTGGTAGGATTTACTCATAGGATTTATTTATTCTCTGTCTGAGCTGTACCTAAGATCATCATCAGTGACTCTTAATTGCACTTAGCTGTTTAAGAAAGAAAATTGCATCTAATCCATCACCTAGACAAGAATAAACACATCTTGGGAACAGGTCCAGTAACCTCAGTGTGTTATCACATATGGGGATGTCATATGTGTGGGTATTTTTTCTCTAAGTCGATCAAAGCAAATATGCAAGTTGTGATATTTAGGCCACATCTAAGATTTTCAAAGATAAATGAACTGGGTTGAGAGGTAGGAGTAGATAAAATTGCAGAAGACATGGTTAAGTGCTACGGAAAGCCAGGGTTCCCCCCACAATAGATTTCCCCCTTAATATTTTGCTCATATCGCAACAAAATTATCTAAAAATTCCAAAGCCTGGGTGTTTCTTCCATTTGTCTTTCTCAGCACAACGCTTTCTCCCATGTAGATAAGAGGGTGAAAATTAAAAAGAAATTATATGGGAAAAATATTCAGATGCAGATGCATTAAAAATAAAATGCCTTGACTGTGGAATGCCTAATGAGATGGCTTTACTTTTGAGTTTTTTGTAGAAAAGGAGATCACAATGAGAGCAACATTGTAGAGGGAAAGACTGAAAATTTGTAATCAGTTGATTTGTTAGAATGGTTGAATTCAGGGCGATTAAAAATCTGTTTATGCAGTTATTTTCTAAATGCTAGTTTATTTTCTTCGTATATCTGTATCTGAATATAAGTAATAGAAGTGTCAGTAAAGAAATATTGCTCTGAGCATTTTCATATCGTGTCCCATGTTACTCAACTTCCGAGCAGTAGTTAATAGGTGTTACATGCTAAAAGACTCCAGGGCAAATAAATTTGGGAAGCTCTCAGTGAAATCATTAAGCAGCTTTCTTTATTGCAGGCTTTTTCAGAACCTTAAATAGGCAGATGTGCACTGTGAATTTCTAAGATGAAGAAGGCTGCAGGTCATTTCCCAAACATTTCATTGCAGACCCCTCCCCTTCATTTATTGTCGTT